GTTATGTGAAAAATTTGGCTCTCTTGACATCTAATATCTATTACTATACATATAAATGGCCATATTAATGGGTAACGCTAGGTCTATGCCGTTTGTGTATTTTTACTAATAAAAATTGTTAGTCTTATTGTACCTCGTCTTTCATTATGTATGTAATTGAGAAACTTTTAAATACTTCTCATACATTTCATAATTCATTGCATCCTCTTGCTTCATAACCCTATATTCTGATTTTCTCGTTTTATAGAAGTTGTTTGACCTTGTTTTCGTAACTTCATCATATTGGTAGGAAGACCTAGAGGAACGAACCTAGTCCGGAGTCCATAGTATGCATGATAATTTCAATGGACGGGGTACATTCTCAGACGTTTCGCCGGCATTGTCAGTGAGCATTGCCATTCTTAGCACCAAACTACAACTCGTCAAAGAGACGAGTAAAATTGATGCTTTAACCAATTCTCTGCTAAACAATCGTGGTATCTCTTCTTTCCCCCTGGGCTACTCACTAATCCTATGTCCTTGTATCACACATTTACTATAACAATTTAAATGTGGTATGGTGTGCCTTTTTAAGTGACTTTCCTGAGAACTCTCCACACTCTATGCTGGATTTCTCATCCCCCTTCACCATTGTGCTGGGAATGTTGATCCGAGTCTGCAGTCCTCCTTCCCTAAGCCTTATCAGAGTCTCCCTGGTTCAAGTATTTCACTCGACCTCTGCTACACTATTTCTGCTACTTGAGGCGTTATTTCCCACACCCTGTCTTCGGGAGACTAACATTAGGCTAAATACCCTCGGTAATTATCATGGTTAAGTCTTCGCCTTATTGGCCACGTCGATGATCAAACACTTCTACTGTTAGCCAACTAGCTCTAGTCTCCGCCGCATTTATCGTGCTTCTATCCATAATATCAAGTCTATGACTTCCTATACTCTAGTCCCTTGTGTGCCAACCCACAAATGTTTGGTTCTATTTGTTTTCATTATGTTCAATGTAGAACAACAACATTTGTAGGCTGGCACGCAAGAGACAAGCGCATAGGACGTCATAGACTTGGTGTTATGGATAGAAACAGTAAGACACGGTGGAGACCAGAGCTAGTTGGCTAACAATAGGCGTGTTTGATTATAGAAGTGGTCCATGAATCACGTCTATTGTTAGTCAACTAGCTCTGGTCTCCACCGCGTCTATCCTGTTTCTATTCATAATACCAAGTCTATGACGTCCTATTTCCTAGTCTCTTGTGTGCCAATCCACAATTGTTGTGGTACTACTAGTTTTGATCTCGTGTTACCTTCTTTTTTGCTAAACCCTCCCTTATACTATCCAATCTATTAGACGAGTCCATAATGGCCACAAACCGTACATTTGCCTCAAATGCGACGTCAGCTTCGCGTGCATTTCTAACTTGCGTCGACATCGCAAGCAAATGCATCCCGCGCTCTCTTCTTCTATCTCCGGCTCCGTAATCAATTCGCTTTCAGTGGCCGATCCAATTGCATCTTCCTCGTCCGCTATCTCTGCTGCCTCTTCTACTTCCTCATCGACAGTCACTTCTCCGAGTGCCTCTCTTCTACTGGTCCGCTCAGCATGTGGGGCTTCCAGCGCGTCCCTTGTAGCTGGTGTCAGCGGATTGCGGCACTTAACTGCATCGCCTGCCGTGACAGTCTCTGCTACGTCAGGAGCAACATGTCCAGGTAGTGTGCTAAGCAGCGCCGCAAATAGCCTTATAGGTGTAGTTGCTTCCTCCGTTCTTGGCACAACAAATATCGGCTGTAGTGGAGATAGTAGTGTTGCCGGCCCAATGTTGACATCTATAGACACGGATCGAGCAGCTGGTGACAGCAATGGCATTGGTGGTAGCCTCGGTGCTGGTGGCCTTGTTGTGGACGTCTCAAGCGGAGCGCTTCTGCTTCAGCCTATTGCAATATCAATGGCTGGTACAGTTACTGCAACAAATGCAACCTCTGATGGAGGCATAGAGGCCCAACATACTAGAGCACTTCTTCTTTCGAGTTCTGGAAGCGGAACATTAAGTCTTGTTTCTGAGGCATCAAGTAAGTCCTGCTCTCCATATCCTTTCAAAATTCAGATAAATCATGTTCATCCCTATTTTTTTCAATCCTATCTTTCACTCAGGCGGCAATGGACAGTCTCTTCCTGTCAGCCTACATATAAGCGATGTGACTAGCACCGCCGTCAACCAGATGCCTCATGATTCTTTGCTGACGGATCATCATCTTTCAGCATGTGGAATTACCAAGTCGACAATGTCACCGACGAAAGGAAGTCATCTGTGTAGTACTGATGTCTATGAACTTGAATCGTCAAATGTAATTTTGTGCATATTCGTAACAAAATTTCAATTTTTTATAACCAAATATGACATTTAAATATATTTGATTTCGAGTAACTTTATAAACTCAAATGATATGTCTAGTATATAAGTAAAATAGGACGCTTTTAAAGACTTTAAGCTTTTCATTTAGACAAAACTTGTTTCATTCAGGCTTCTTTCAATGTGTACAGAAATTAACAAATATCAATTTTTGTCTTAGACCTAACATCCCTAAACGACAAGGATGAAATTAGAGATAATCTCGACTTAAATTGCTCTTTCCTGAACTATGGAATGCCACTACTTGCTTAATTTTTTGAGATCACGCTTCTCAAAGCCCAATAAAAACTATCGCTAAGACAAATTAGTGTTTGTCGATAGCTCCACCTGACAGATATTGATTAAAAGTCAATATAAATGATTGGGTTCGTCGTGCCCTTGTCCGATTTGGCATGAATACAGCCGTCGTGTCTAATGCCCTTTTGAATAAGCTAAAAAAGCTTAACGATTTAAAGAAGTTGTTTGACCTTGTTTTCGCAACTTCGTCATATTGGTAGGAAGACTTAGAGGAACGCACCTATTTCGGAGTCCATTGTTTGCATGATCATTTCCAAAGTTTAACCGTGGACGTGGTACATTCTCAAACGTTTCGCCGGCATCGTCAGTGAGTCTTCCCATTCCCAGCACCATACTACAACTCCTTAAAGATACAAGTGAAGCGCATCATTTAACCAAATTTGTGATAAACAGTTGTGGTTTCTCTCCTGTCCTAGGCTATTCACCTTTCCTATATCCTTATATCACACCTTCACTGCCACCATTTTTTCTCCGCGCTTATTTAAATGTAGTGTGGTGGCACAAACGCTGTGGTTTAACATTGGACCTAATCAAATCAAGCAGTACCACAACATTCGTGGGTTGGCACACAAGAGACTAGGGCATAGCAAGTCATAGACTTGGTATTAGGGATAGAAACAGAATAGACGCGGCTGACAGTAGGCCTGTTTTACCATATACATGGTCCATCTAGCAAAGCCCTGACCATGATACTTATTTAGAGGCTTTAGTCTCGAATTAGTCATCCAGACGGAGAGGATGGGTAATAGCGGTTTGAGTAGCACATATAGGGTGGTAGGGGTCGAGTGAATTACTTGAACCAGGGCGATAACAGACGGATCCTACGGAGCAAAAGGGACACTGTGATAAGACCTAATGAAGGATGACTACGTAACAATATGGCAGACTCTGATCAAGATTCCCAACACAAAGAGGGTGAGAACGTCAGCGTGGAGTGTGGAGGGTTCTCACGAAAGCCGTTCAAAAGGGCACACCTCTAACAATAGATTTAAATAAGCAAGGAAAACAAATTGTGATAGTGAAGGCATGATACGAGGATATAAGAAAGGTGAATAGCCCAGGACAGAAGGAGAGATACTACAATTGTTTATAACACATTTGGTCAAAGGATCGGCTTTACTTGTCTCTTTGACGAATTATAGTATGGTGCTAAGAAAGGCAAGACCCACTGATGATGCCAGCGAAACATCTGGGAATGTATCGCGTTCATAGTCCGATTGTAAATTATCATGCATACAATGGACTCCGGACTAGGTGCGTTTCTCTAAGTCTTCCCAAGTTGTGAAAAAAAGGTTAAACAAATTATATACAACGAAAGGAGACTGTGACCACACAAAAGGCCGCACCATCTTGGTCTTCATACCTGTGATTATTGATTTTATGTTGAAATTTATATTCATATGTCATTGTGACAACTAGATCAAGAAATTGGTTGACTTCGTTTTCGCAACGGCCTTGTTGTCAGGGAAACTTCGTTAAACACACTTTGTCCGAAGTCCTCTGCCATACTAATTATTATAGTTCCCAGCATTAGATCGTGGACTTGGTACATTCTCAGACGTTTTGCTGCCACCATAGTTGGCATCATCAGTAGTTTTGCCATTCTTCACACCGAGTTGCAACTAATTACTGAGACAAGTGAAGTCAATCCCTTAACCAACCTGGTGCAGAGAATGGCAAGACTTACTGATGATGCTCACTACGATGCTAGCTAAACTTCTCGGAATGTATCAGGTCCACGGTCTGACGCTGAGAATTATGATAACTACTATGACAGAGGACTTCGGATAAGGTGTGTTTAAATAAGTCACCAAGCTGCGTAAACGAGGTCAACCTGCTTCTATAAATCGAATGGAGACTGCGACTATACCGAGGGCCATACCATCTTGGTCTTCATATCTTCTATTAACTATATTAAGATTCATTCATCTGAATCTTTTTTAATATTCTTGTCCCTGCTTACCTTCTTTTTATAACTAGATTTCTATTTTCGGTTCTTCATCATCATTGAAACGCTTTGACTCCATCGATAGAACTATTTATTCTGGCCACAGCGTTTCTGACGCGTCAGCAGGCATATCCTTTGTTAGTGGACACCCAGATCAGCAGCAGCAGCTAGCAGGCAATCTTCTAGGGTTAACTGGTTCTTTACTAGATGAGCGTCGTACTCTAACTGTCAACGTCAGTGAGAACGAGCTAATTTCCACTAACACGGCTACGACTTCCACAGGTGCAGAGCTAGATCAAAACTCCCTGTTACTACCTATTCCCGATGACGGTGAGCCCGGCTATGGCCAATCCAGTCTTTTGACTGCTTGTGACCAAACACCTATGTCCATTGTTGCTTTAGAAGTCAGTGGCTCCTTGTCTTCGGCCAAAACTAGCCAATGACAACACATTGGTCTGTACCCCATTCATTGCACTCAAATAAACACGAGGACATGTAATCATGTTTTTCCATATATAGAATACAGGTTTACGCAGGCGCATAGTACAAATTGGTATATCAAATTCTTATTTATTTTGCCAAGCTCTTCTATATGCGCGTATGTCTGTATGCATACATTTTGATTGCTTCGAATTCTATCCATCTGCATGTCTTTCTTATTAACGATATAATTTTGAACTATTTATTCCATGAATGATTAATTGGCTTTCTTTAGTTTCTTAGAAGAGCTTTGTTTCACCTGCTCCATCTCAATTCCCATTCTCAAAGAAAATGAGGTTGACGTTCACATCGCCATCTCTCTGCCAATCCAAATGCTTATCTGTTTGATCACTAGGTCTTAATTTTATAGACAATTGGCTGTGATCTGCTTATACTTTGCCTATCTTTATATCTTATTTAGTATATCTAAATTTTGTTCCTTACTTGAGTTAACTATGGTCCATAACGCTCTGATGAGCATTCTGTGTAATAAAATATGGTAATTTTTCTTAGCCGAAATATCGAGTTCGACTCATATTTGACGACAAGGGCTCGATATATATGTATACACAAATAAACCTTACTTATTTTAAGCAGATCCTAGTGAATACTTATGTAAAGGACCCATTTTAACTGTACTTTAGACGAGCATGCTATATTAGCTGCACAATTCATTTTTATAGTCTGCTTGTCCCTTATTCAGCATCCAAGCATATAAGATATCTCAATGCATGTTCACTGTTTAGTTTCGTTTAAAAGAATCAGTTAACAGTCTTTCTGGGGCTTATGAAGCAACGCATTCTTAATTTACATACATTTTATGACAATCCGGTACATACTTTCTTTTTTGCCTCGATTAAATTAACTCTTTTTCTTGCTTTGCGTGTTTTATAACACTGCCACAAAACCAGCGACAGCTCGCATATGTATGAATATCGTCACTGCCTTTTTGCGGTATATTTGTAATTTGTTAACAATGTGCAATTAACCTAAACTATACTATAAGCTGGTTGAATTTTCATTATTTTTCTGCATTTTCCTCGTTTGCATTTCCTAAAAAGCGATTTACATTTGAAAAGTGATATGCCCATTTTCGTTTTCGCCCTCATCTTTGTAAAAGTGTAAACCCTTGTCTTACAATAGTTTAACCCCACTTCGCTAGCCTGATTCATTATATCTGTACAGTTAAGCTCTTGAATCGCTTTTAAAACTTAAACTCAGAGAGCTCTATTCGAAAAGCTTTCTAAATTTGTATATATAAGCCCTTTGCACATTCTGTGAACGGTTGCCGTTTTGGAATATGTTCTCCGTTTACTTCTTCATTAAACTGTTTGTTTTTTTCTTTATTTTTCTTATACTTTTATTTTCCCTATATTCTACGAAAGAACATTAGCGACTAGCAACCCACAACCTTTAGGAGGTAATTTTCCCACGTATATTCTGTTTATTTCATAAGGCAGTGTGTATTCAAACATCCCCTTAACAAGTAATGTTGCCTACCTCAGCAATTATTCTTACTACCTTATTAACCTTTATACTTTAAATATGAATATATATATGTACAAATTTTATGAATCCTTGTTTGCTCATTGCTACTGTATGTCATTCGCTAAATATGAGTTAGTTTAAACAAGTTATGGATTTCACCTTTTTACGCATTCCCAATTATTTTATCATAATATTTCTTAACTAACATGAGACTAGCTTAATATTCTTAGAGTTAGTTCTAGATGTCTCGAAGGTTGGTTAAATTTTTCAATTGTTGAAGCAGCTTGATCCCGTTTTATTACCTCGGTTGTGTTGCCAGGTCGGCCTCGTTGAACGCGCCTTGTCTCAAGTCTTCTGCAATAGTAGTTATACTAATTTCCATTGTCGGACTTTAGATTTGATACATTCCTATTGATTTTGCTTGCACCGTTAATGAATCTTGCCATTCCTATTATCAAAAGACGTCGAGTTATAGTTTGGCGCTAAGAATGGCGAGTCTTACTGACCATACCATAGAAACATCTTGAAATGTACCAAGTCCTGTTCGACGCTGGGAATTACCATAACTTATATGACAGAGGTCTTTTTACAAGTTACGTCCAACGAGCTTGCCCTGACAAACCTACTAAGTTGCTAAAACTGAGGTCGAACCACTATACAACGAAACGAGACTGCGACTAAAACAGAGGCCGCGGCTTCTTGATATTACTAGCTACGATTTTTCGATTATTTTCGTGTTTTTCCTCTGTGATCTCCGAGGCTAGATTCTGCACTAAGGTTAATGCAAGGGAATTCATTAAGCCGATACCATAAATCCATTACAGGTTATTTTAATTTTATTTAGGAGGGGCTAAACCTTGAATGGGGAACTCAGCTATCTCTACGAAATATCAGTATTTATTCCAAACTAGATTCTGACATTGGAAATGATACCCTACAATTCTAGTTGCTCGAAATCACCTTGAAATCACAAGTTGGCACGTCAGGCTTGGCCTAGTATTGGAGAATGTGTTGAAAACTTCTCTTCTATACCGGAATGTTAATCTGTTCCTCCTTAATTTCCAAGTTTGGGGATTTACATACCCTAATTTAGTCAGCCTATATAGGAGAATGAGTAATTGGCTTGTTATTTGTTATGTGGATTAATGCCTTCAGTAATAGATTCAATTAAATTGTAGTGGCTTATCTCATTTTTTCTGCTAGATAAATTTGCTTCTGACGCCTTGTGTCAGCGTGTGGAGACAGTTATTTCGCCATTTATCTTATGCAAATAATTGACTTTTTGATATATCTTAAGATTTATCCAAATATCTAGCGTTGTTGCAAACACAAAATTCTTATTAGGGGGACTTTCATTTCGTATAAAAATGAATGAAGATCAGATTTGTTGGTCAATCTTTCAGATGAGGACGGATGAATCTCATCATACTGCAGACGTTTGGCTTTTATACAAAATTCATGTTGATGAAGTCCACGAAACTT